TTTCTTTCTTTCTTTCTTTTTCTTCCTTCCTTCCTTTTTTCCTTCCTTCCTTCCTTCCTTCCTTTCTTTCTTTTTTTTTCTTTTTGGTTTTTTGAGATAGGGTTTCTCTGTGTAGTTTTGGTACCTGTCCTGGATCTTGCTCTGTAGACCAGGCTGGCCTCCACAGAGATCTGCCTAGCTCTGCCTCCTGAGTGCTGGAATTAAAGGCATGCACCACCACTGTCCGGCTTTTGTAAAGCCCTTTTGCTGTCAGGGTTAATGCTGTCTAAATAAAATAAGTTTGAAAATATTTCCTACTGTTGAATTTTTGAGTTTGAGAATGACGATCCTGGGTTTTACCTGTTTGGAAAAGCTTAGCTGTGAAGTTGCCAGGCTATGTCCTTTTCTTTCGAATGATGCCTCTTTCATTACTGGCTTAATCCTGCTCATTATTGGTCTCTGCAGATTTTCTACTTATTCAGAATTCTATTTTGGAAGGTTTTTGTGTGTAGGGATTTTTGCCATTCATTCCACATTACTCAATTGTTTGGTGTAGTATTTTTCATAGCCATTGGTTACCTTCTTATTTACATTGTACCTGCTACAATATTTCTTCCTTTATTTATGATTTTAGTTGACTCCCTTCTTTTTCCCTTAGTCTAAAGATTTGCTATTTTTCTCCTTAAAACAAAACTAAACAAAAACCGGTTTTTAAACTAGTTAAACATTGCAAAACTAATCAATGTTTATTGCTACTCCTAGGGTATTAAAGACCCTGCTTTAGAACAACTGAAGAGAATTGCTCCATTATAGACCTCTTCTTTTATTCATGTTGCCTTATCTGCTTAGGTGCTGAGGTTGGATACATTTCTATTAACAATTGCTACATCCTCTTGGTGAATTGGCCTTGTATCATTGTACAATGACTGCTTTGTCTTCATGGATTTTCACCTAAAATCTATTTGTCAACATGAGTATAGTCCTTTCTTGCTCTCTTTGTTTACATTCTCATGGAATGACTGTTCCTTTTCTGTGTCTGTCTTTATGTGAAATGAACCCCTTATAGACAGCATGCATAATTGGGTTTGTGTGTGCATGCATTTTAATCCATTCATCTACTCAGTGTTTAATAGAGAAGTTATATGTTCTTACTACCAATGATTTCCTTAAACATAAACTGTCATTTTGCTAATTATTTGGGGATTATTTGGTATATCATTTATTCCTTGATTATTCTCCTGTCTCTTTTTATACTTAAATGATTTTATTGAAAATATGGCTCAATCCCTTTTTATTTGTTGTGTATCTATTTTGGGATTTTGCCTTGTTATCACAAGGCTACATAAATAGTTAAATGGGCTATATTATGTTAACAACTTTGATTACACACAACTCTACATATCCACTTCATTCTCTCATACAGTCTATGTTTTGATACCACAGTTTACATATTTTTATAGTGTATAATCCATGAAAACATATTCTTTTAGAAGATTTCTTTAATTATTTGATATATATATATATATATATATATATATATATATATATATGTTTCCTGCATGTATGTATATGCACCACATGCATGCAGTACCCAAAGCAGTCAGAAGAGGGCATTGGATCTCCTGAAAATGGAGTTAGAGGTGGTTGTGAGCCACCATGTGGGTGCTGGTAATGGAACCTTGGTCTTCTACAAAAGCAGCAAGTCCCCCAACTACTGAACCACCTCTCCAGCCCCCATTAAAAAATTATTGTATCAGTCATTTTTTTTGTTTTTTATTTTGTTTTGTTTTGTGTTTTATTTTGTTTTTTGAGACAGGGTTTCTCTGTGTAGTTTTGGTGCCTGCCCTGGATCTCGCTCTGTAGACCAGGCTGGCCTCAAACTCGGAGATCTGCCTGGCTCTACCTCCCAAGTGCTGGTATTAAAGGTGTGTGCTACCACCACCCAGCCTTATATCAATCATCTTTAATGGCTTTATGCTAAAGATGTGGGATTTGTACCATATTAGTGCTGAATTAGGGTATTCCAGCTTTGGCTGTGCACTCAGTACATGAAAGCATAAAATTCCCTTTATACATTTTCATTTTACTAATTAGTGTCCCTCTCTTTTAGCTTCTGGAATCCAAACAGCATTTCTTGAGAAAAAACTTTATTTGTTTGTGAGTCTTGAGCTGTCTGCCACTTCCGAAGGCCCAGCTTGCTGTGACTTTCCATATTCAGCACTGTATTAGTCACTTTCTTTGCTGTGACAAGCATAAAGGGAGAGAAGTTCATTTTTAGCTTGCTGTTTCAGTCTGTCCTTCTGGGAAAGTGTAGTGGAATGGCCCAGTCCACTAAGGTGCTGTGTGGCCGCAGCTGTTAACATTATGATGGGACTCCACCCCCACCCCAGTGACATAATCCTTCCACCTGGCTCCATCCTTTCCCAGATAGTGCACCTGCCTTGGAAACAAGCTTTCAAGATGCTTGCTTTGAGGGGGAACATTTCAGGTTCAAATCACAATGGACACTTGGACTATGGCATTCCGTTCTCCCCTCTAAGGACATTGCTGATATTAAGAATGTCGCTAAGCTTATGTGTCCTGCTGTACACAGGACTTGACTTTTCTCTCTTGCTTCTTTCAGGGTTTTTTTCTTCAATTTTTCATAGTTTGGTTACACTAAGCCTTGGTATGGTCTCTTTGGGATTGAATCTGAAGACCTTTTAACCTTTTGCACGTGGTTATTTATAGCCTGCTCAAAATTTAGAAAGTTTTTCTATTCCTATTTTTAAAACAAGCTTCCTACTGCCCCCTCCCACCTATAACTCGGATATTTGTTTTTTTGTGTTTTTTTTTTTGTTTTTTTTTTTTTTTTTTGGATCAGGTCCCATAAATCTAATATGCTGACTTTCTTCACTTTTGTGTTTTATTCCATCTATGTGTATTTTCAAATAACCTATTTTTGAGTGCGTGATGGTTAATATTGACTGTCAACTAATGAGATTTAGAGTTACCATAGAAAAGAGTTTCTGGACATGTCTGCGAGGGATTGTCGTCTAGAGGAGTTTAACTCGGGTGGGGAGGTTCCACCCCAGGTGTGGGCAGCAGCGCTCTTGGGCTGCGGTCCTGGCTGAATGAAAAGGAGAAAGCCAGCTGAACGAACACGCGCCCTCACTGCTCACTGCTTCCTGACTGTCGATGCAGTGTGAACAGCCACACCCCCCCCCCCGCCCCTGCCACTGTACCCCAGTGTCCAGTCGGGGTTTCTGTCGCAGCAGGGGAACAGCAGGGCCCAAAGCAAGTTGGGGAGGAAAGGGTTTATTTGGCTTACGTTTCGGTATCATTGTTCATCGTGGGGAGTGGGAACAGGAACTCTCACAGGGCAGGAACCTGGAGGCAGGAGCTGACGCAGAGGCCATGGAAGGGTGCTGCTTACTGGCTTGCTCCCACGGCTTGCTCAGAGAACCCAGGACCACCAGCCCAGGGATGACACCACCCACAAAGGGCTGGCCCCTTCTGCATCAAGCCCTAAGAAAATGCTCCACAGGTTTGCCTACAGCACTATCTTACGGAGGCATTGTCTCAGCTGAGGCTCTCTCCTCTCGGGTGACTGTAACTTGTGTCGGTTTGTTACGACACAAGCAATTGACAAAGCTTGTGCTAAATGTGTCATCCGGCACACTCACCAAAGAGCACAGTAACGTGAGTGCCACAATTTGTTTTCTGGCTGGTATGGCTGCAGAGATCTCTCTAAGTAGACAGATCTGGCACTTGTTGGGGCTTGCTATGCTGACTCCATGCTGGGCCAGACCTAAAGAGGAACCATCAGGCTAAGCCGGTTGTGGGTTGACTTGGAGCCTGGGGTCACAGGGACTTGCCTGCTGTGGGTCAGTGTGTAGTCCTTGTCCACAGAAGCGGACTGGAGCCAGGGTGGGCAAGCATGGGCATAATCGGGCCTTTGGGGTTTAGCCATGTGTCAGAGTGTGTCTGAAGCCTGAAGTCACTGTGCTGGGGAGAGATTGGGGTGGAAGACCGCTGGATCCTGAGCTGGGTCAGAGCCTGAACTGCTGGCATTGGGGTGGCTGTGGAATAGATTCAGAGCCCAAGTCTTCCTGAGACTGTGGGATCTAGCCAAGGAGCACAGCACGCATTGGGGTTCAGTCCTAAGCCAAGGACCTGGAACCTGGGGTTGTGAGGATTAGTCTACAATCGCAGGCATTAGCATGAAGCCTGAGTTTCTGGGCCCTGGCATGATGCTCAGGACAGGCTTGGAGTCCTTCTAGTTTACTAGGGATAAGCACGAGGCTGGAGAAGACCCAGGAACGAAATGAGACAGATATGGCTGGAGTCTGGAGAATAGTCCCGGAGGAGCAGCCTGGAGTCTGGTGTCATGGACTCCTGCCTGGTGCTACATTTTCCTGGGGGCTGAGGAGAAGGGATGCTGGCCTCTGCATCAGCTTCTGCCTCCGGGTTCCCAGGGATGCTCACTTCCCTTTTCCCTCCTCCACCCAGAAGTTCTCTCTCACAACGTGCTGCATGGGCCTGGTTAAGGGGAGCTAGGAAACTGCCCCCCTACTCTTGCCAGTGCATCTTTTCTTACTTCTAGGTGACATCCTGCTAACGTAATTCTTGTCAAGTTCTCATTAAGGTATTTTTGTGAACCAATAGTTGTACAATTGGATGCTTTTGTGGATATACGCAAGAGAGTCCTAGTCCACCATCTTCTTGATGCCTTTATATCACAAGGATATTTGATTGAATCATTATAGACAATGCTAGCAAGGTTGATGTATTAAAAAAAAAACAAACCAAAGTTAGTACATCATCAGTCATTGTAAGGATTAATTGATAGGTCACTTTATCAGTATCTGGGACATAGTAATATAATAACACATATTGATGTTTACAAGTATTATTTACCAATTCTGTGTGCTTGATCCAATCGTGGATCTTGATTGATCTGCTTTCATTTTAATCTGTAAAATGGGGGCACTGGAGTTAGAAAGCTACTAATTCCTCTTTGTTCTCTCAAAGCCTGTGACTTTAGTCAGGATTAGTGAAAAATTAGACTATATGAGCAAGCCAAATTTGAGTGAAAAAAACAATTGGAGATAGAGAAAATGAAAGAGGTCTATAAGAAGAATGCAACAAGAAAATTTCCAGGCCCCCACCAAGCACCTTCCACGTCAATTGGCTCTTTCACGTATTACTGAATAGAGGAGCCTGTGTCCCTGACCTGGCACCAGAGAAGTCTGGTCCAATTGTAGTAAGAGTGTGTATCACCTGCAGGTTAGACTGACTCACATAACAGCAGCTCTGGCCAGGCCTAGGCCAAAGCCACACCCAAAGCTGATTCCAGTTCCTCCTCAGAAGGCAATGCTCTTCTCCGAATAGTTACCATATTCTCTCCAACTCATCTCCATGTCTTATATGCCTACCTGACAACTAAGGACTTACATTCCCATCAAAGGTAGAAGGTGGTATCAGTCTTGAAAGATGATGTCAGTATTTTAATACAAAATTTGACATTTAGTCAGCTATGATGACAAGAAAGGAGTTATGATGTCTGCCTTCTGAAAGAAGTCGCTAAAAAACAGCTAAAATGGTTAGGACTTATCAGTTTGTTTCCTGAGAAAAGCCAAAGCTGAGAGTCCTGAGACCCCAGCAAGTCCTTGTCACAGTCTAAGATAGAGATTATTATGGATAGCTCAGAGAAGGAAGGAACAGTCACAATCACATTTTCAACTGAAAAGGCAGTGCTCAGAAATGGAAGGAGAAGCATTTTTGTTTTGTGTTTTTAAATAAATGCAATGTATTCATGTATGTGTGGAAATACAACCTTGAATCAATAGAAAACAAATCACTCTGGATTGGCTGGTCATTCTAGCAGATGTTCTGGGTAGCTAGTGCTCATGACCCTGGGACTGTAAACTGGGGCTCTTGTTCCCTCAAAGACAGACGCATTCTCCATTCAGTGAGGTACCCTGAGGAAGTTCGATGCCACCCTCCTGCTGGCAAATGCCAGCTCCTACAGTTCCCTTTCCTGTTCCTTTATGACCCAGGGTGGTCCTGGCGTCCACTCTTGTGTCCTCTGGGGGACTGTTCCACCCTTCTGCTGCAGCCCACCTCAGCCCACACATTTGTCAATAATACATGTCACACTGTTCCCAAAGTATCCCCGGAACACGCCAGCCATTTCTGATGGGTCTCTTCTAGATAGATACCTTACGTGTCTAAATGTAAGTGTAAGTCTCAGGCAAGGATTACCACTGGGGGGCTTACTGGATTGTTTGGTGAAGATGCCTTACACCACTGAGGAAGCTTAAATATCTGTAGATTCAATGACAGAAGTGTTAGCAACCTCGTGACGGCTGAAAACCTCTGGCAGCATAGTGAGGCTGACCATAGCCAGTTCCCTCTGGGCATTCACTCCGGACACAGCAGCCCTGCTGAAGTACTAGGGTCGGCTGATAGCTGTTGCTGAAAGTTGGCTCTAGGTGAGCTAACACCAAGGAGAACTTCTGGGTACAACCACGACAGGGGCTGTCACCACTGGCTGTTGCTTAGTGGGTGCTGATTCAAGGATTAGATTGTACCTCCCCACTTTGATCTCATCAAGTACCTGAGAATGGCCACATCGCCTGCACTGAGGCTGTGGCCCGTGTCTGTGTCGTCTGTTGGGGTTGGGGGGTGTATGTCTTAACATCCACTGGCCATGGAATGCTAGATTCAGTTTCTCTCGTAACGTTTTATTTTGGTGTCTGAAGACACTTTTCTATTGTTCCCTGGCCTGTGTCTTCTGATAAGCAGCCAGCCAGTAATTGGGTTGTTGCTTCTCTAGATATAGCTGTCATTTTCCTCTTGACCATGTCAAGATTTGCTCTTTATCTTTGGCTTTCAATGCTTTGAAGATTTGCCTCGAGGAAGTAGCTAGACAATATAATCCCCAGCGTCGTATTTAAGCATGAACCGCTGCTTCTTCCAGATAGGACAGACAAAAGGTCTGCCCGGCAAAGAAGTTCACAGAACACAACCATAAACCCTAGGCATATATAAAAAGGGAGTGTGTGTAGATAGCACAGGAGTGGAAGCCGAGGGGCTTGGCCAAGGACGGGGAGTCAGACATTCACACTACAAAAACTCAGGAGAGTCGGTTGCAGGGAGACACACAGCCCAGTGCTTAAAAAGATCTGAATGGGAACCAAACTAAAGAAAGTACTAAGATAGTGTACCAATCGGCACACAAAGATGAACCATATCTCTAGTCACAGTTAGTGGCCACATCAACAGTAAAATGTCCACTTGTGGGCAGATATTAAAACCAAGTTGGTACTGTGACGCAACACATGATTTAAATGGCACTCAAGACACAAAACAATACAGTTTGTATTTTTTTTTTGGTCTGAGTTTAAAAGACAGCAAAAAGGCTATTAATACTAAATATTGGCTAGAGGGGCAACTAGTCCCCTCCCAGCTGCCGGCAGGTGAGGTGAATGGTGACTACAGCCTGGAGGTATTTTACAAAAGTAAGGGAGCATTCCCCTTAGGACTCAGTAAGTCTGCCACATTCTCATCCAAGAGAAACAACATGTGTCCTTTGAAGCCATGTTAAAAAAATAAATAAAAGTAGATAAAATCTAAATCACTGTCACAGTAAGCACACCCCTTGGCATAGCCATGTTATGATATACTTCTAAGTCCTAAGAGATTAAAACATTAATACATATAATAGCTTTAATGTGTTTCGAAAGCTTGCTAAGTAAAGGAAGGCAAATATCAGTTACAGACGCGGAGTCCATTTATATGAAATCGTAGATGTGGCAAAAGTGTAACGTCAGAATTAGGTCAGTGTTTGATGTGTCAGGGATAGGAGGAAGGTAACTGTCACTGGGGTGTTGGTGGGAACCTCAGGTTGACATCTAGAATCTTCTAATTGCTTGTTTTGTCAGGCAGGGTCTCTTAAGAAACCCCAGAGTTTGCTGAGAAGACTACTTTGGTTCGCCAGTTTGTTCAAGGAGCCCCCCCCCCCTTCTGCCTACTCCTTCTGGAGTTACAAGGGTGCTACCCCAGCCTCTGGGCTCCGGGGATCTGAACTCCGGGTTCTGCTGCTTATATGACATGCCCTTTAGGCCCTGAGCCATCTCCACAATCCCCAAAGATCTTACTGGATTTCCATAGTCATCCACAAAACATTAGCTTGGCTTTAGGCTCCCCAGGTCCTACTTTAGGTGTGGCCAGATGTGGGCACTGGCCTGCCTTGTGGCCTCTTTTAACCCATTTTCCATCTGTGAGTGAAGAGGACTTCATTGCTAATTCACTGGGTTGCTGAGAAGATTGAATGGGGTGACCAACAGGTGTGCTCTCTGCTCTCATTATCTCCAAGTCTCTTTTTTGTCTAGGAGAAATGAGTCCCAGCACTACCTCCAGGGCCCTCCCCTTGAGTGGCACCCTGTGCTTCGGCTGGATAGCTCTCTCCAGGAGCACACTTGACTCTATCACAGGAAATTACAAGCCCCGTGAGTAGCACTGAACAACTGAGCTTTGGGTCTCTGAAATACAGCCAGATGGGTGTCAGTGTGGCCATCTGAAGGTTTT